AGCACTGTCCTTGGTGCAGACCTACAAAGATAAGACATACACTCTGCCTTTACTAAGGAGACCATAGTTTTGTGGGAGAGTCCAAGTGTACACACAATAGGTTCTTAATAAATATCTGCTGAATACATGTTTTGGTTAGGTATGGGGGTGAATAACAAAAGTGTTCGGAGTGTATGTAGCAAGTACTATGATAGAGCAGGATAGGCCATGCAGAGATACTTGGACTTCTGCTAAAAGTTTCTGTAAGCATTGACCTTAAAGTCACATTTGGGAGGAATTATATAGAGAAGAAAGGATGAAGGAAGGATGAAGGGAACTTACAGAAAATAATATGTGCAGAGACAGGAAGCTGAGACAGAGCATGGTGACTTTACAGAACTGTAGTTTCAATATACATGGTATTGTGTTGAAAGATGAGAACAAAGATTAGTAAGGGGACTTTAGGAAAGCCATATATGCTCACAAAAAAATTCTTGTGTTGTTGTATAGACACTGGATCTCAAACATAGCATTGTTATAACACAGTAGAGACAATTATGGCTAATATTTATAAAATGCTTACTATATACTTGATGTTTTACATATATTAATTTTTTAAACCTCATCTATCCTCCTGAGATGGGAATTACTATAGCTCATTTTAAGGAGGAGACAAGTGAAATTAAGTAACTGATTTGAGATAATAGAGCTGGGATTTAAACCCAATGATCTGGCTCCAAAACCCACACTCCTACCACTTTAGTATATTGCCTCTTAATGTAGTGTCACATTTTGTGTAACTTGCTATTAATAATTATATTTGAATATCTAAGTTGAACATCTATTATTTTTGTGATACTACATCTCTCATTCACTTACTTTCCAATATACTTTCTCATGTTGGAGAAAAGAAGTATAGGAACAGGGGGACACTAGGAATTATATATAATTCTGAGACATTTGTGAGAATGTGTTATACAAGTAGCAGTCTTCCATCCTGGGTAGCCTGGTGCCTTGGTGGAGGACAGAGCCTCAGGTCCTCCAGCCCATCACCCTGGCAGGGGATACGGCCTGAGGTCTCTCAGTCTGGCACTGGGGGAGGGTGCAACCTGAGGTCCCCAGCCAAGCTCCTTTGGGCAGGGGCATGGCCTGAGGTCTCCCATAAAGCCCTGCATGGCGGGGGGTGTGGCCTCATGTCCCTCTACCTAAGAAAGATCATATCCTGCCCTAGCCAGTTTGGGTCAGTGGATAGAGCCTTGGCCTGCAAACTGCAGGGTCCAGGTTCGGCTCTGATCAAGGGCATGTACCAGGGTTGCAGGCTTCTCCCTGGCTGGGGCCCAGGTCAGGGCTCATGCAGGAGGAAACCAATCGAAATGTCCCTTTCACATTGAGGTTTCTCTCTGTCTTTTCCTCTCTCTTCCACACTCTCTAAAAATCAATGGAAAAATATCCTCAATTGAGGATTAAAAAAAAGAAAAGAAAAAAGAAATGTCATATCCTATGAAAGAGACATCTTGAAAATGCCTAAAGCAAGTTGTCATGTTTTTGTGGTGAAGAGGCTGGAGTCCATGTTGATGAAAACACCTTGGCTGTGTTGGCCATCAGTGGCAACAGCAGTGGGGTGATGAGGGTGGCACCTTCCCCTGGTCAGCCGTGTCTCCTCCTGCAGCCTGTGGTCACACTCCTCACGGGATGTCCTAAACCGTCATTAGGACATCCCGGGAGGGCTTTAAGATTGTGAGAGGGAGCAGGCTGAGCTGAGGGACCCCCACCAGTGCATGAATTTTGTGCCCTGGGCCTTGCTTAATTAGACCTGCTTTCTGATTTAGCCAAACTTTTTCCAGCCCAATGAAGTACCACAACTTCTCTTTCAGGTACTTGTCAGCAACACAGCAGTAAATATCAACATGAAGGAGATTATATCGTAGATCCTGCAGGGAGAACAAAGGATGAAATATTTAACTATGGCAGTGTTTTACTATATTCTGCTCAGTGAGAAAACCTGAAGTCATTTATATATATATATATATATATATATATATATATATATATATATATATATAATTTATATTTTACAGAGAGGAAGGGAGAGAGATAGAGAGCTAGAAACGTCGATGAAAGAGAAACATCCACCAGCTGCCTCTTGCACACCCCCTACCGGGGATGTGCCCGCAACCAAGGTACATGCCCTTGACCAGAATTGAACCCGGGACCTTTCAGTCCGCAGACCGACGCTCTACCACTGAGCCAAACCAGTTTCGGCCTGAAGTCATTTTCAAGTTCCACAATTTCTTACTTATTTTCAATTGGGTCAAGTTTCTAAACTTTCTAAATCTCTAATATCCAGCTAATGCAAAAAAAAAAATAGGATTCTACCAAGATTCCTATCTATTTACTCCAGGACTTCTGTGAGGATCAAATGAGATGAGGCACAGAAAATGCTTCACAGACATTTGGTTAAAGTGTAAAATGTTTGCACCTGGCTATAAAGCAACTCATGTTCCTGGGCTAAAGAAACTGCAAGGAGCCTAGTCACTAGTGAGAGGAATCCAGGTATTGCTATGTGACATCATTACCCGGTCCCCACAGAGACCATTTCTGGGTTCGGCTGTGGGGCACATTTTGCACCATGGGTCTCAGCAGCATTGGCTGCAATTTGGTGGGCTGTCACTCTGGGGTGGTGGTGGGACGTGTGTCCCACTTGGGGGAAGCCTAGCGTTGCTTTGTTGGTGCCAGATCCACAGTACAGTTTCTATGTAAATGGACAGTGAGCATCATGGCAGATTCTGCAGTGAGAGTCTGCCCTCTGTGGTCAGTACACTTCATAGCTACTAGTTGGATGGTCAGAAATATAGTTAGCACATTAGCCTTTTATATACATAAATAGTCATTCAGTGAAAAATGTGACAATATTGGGGATTTTACTTAGAGAAAATAAAATGTTCCTTTATTCATGGAGAATATGACATCAATATTTTTTGAAGTAACACATAAGTGTCAGGAATTGATGATGATGTGAATGCAAACTTCATAACATATATTTTTCCACTAAGGAATACCTTCCATTTGAATTTCCATAATCTTTTGTCTAGATATCACTTAAAGAACTTTTAACATCCTGTCTATTACTCTGCTTTGGTGTATACTGAAATACATATGGAATGAATAAGGATCACATCTAAATACCCAAAGTGTTGTTCATTGCCCTTGAACATTTGTTTATTTAAAGTGGCTTTATTACCCCAGTTTTACATATAAGGAAACTGAGGATTGAAAGGTTAACCTGCTTGAGGTCACTAGGAGTTAAAAAAGGTTTTAATCAGGTATGGAAATGGTTTTCCCCATGAGTATGTCAGTACTGATTGCTTGGAAAGATCCTATTTTACTTCATAATTCCTCATTTCTTTCTTAATTTATATAGTAAGTAATTTCCCACATGAACTATTAATCATAATTTAAAAACATACGACTCCTTTAGGATTTCAAAATATGTTCATATTCCTTGTTAAGTCCCTACGTGACAGGTGAAGAAAAAGAGACATGCCCACATTGTAGAAATAAACAGGGAAGCAGAGTTACAATGGACATGACCCTCTTGACTCTCAGGCCAGTACTCTCTCTTCCATGCTGTGCCACTTTTTGTGGCTAATTCCAGTTAACTCTGGCCTCATCAGAGACCTCACACTGTTTAAATTTTAGGGAGATTCCAGAGAACAGAGGATGTTAGACATCTCTTCATTTAATTCTAGGAACGTACCCTGATTATTGCTGTGTTATTCAAATTGTGTTTATTTGAAAGTTCCTTTCTTTAGTCATCCATTTTGTTTGACAAGTTAAAAGTAGAATTTTGTTATTATTGGTTTTAATTAAAAGCTCCACAGGTAGGATAAAGAACTCATTCTAAGATGGAAATATATGGAGTTGGTATATAGAACAATTGATAGTATACATTTTTGGAGAATACAATATGGAAAAGAGATCGCAATTAGGGGACACTTCCTAGTACAGTATTAAAATTAAATTCAGTATGCTGTGAGAAGAAAGTCAAAGAAGGGGCCTGCGGAGAGAAGACAGACACAAAGAAATGGGGCTGGTATCAGGTGAAGTTGTCCCGATACCAAAAGGTAGTCCAAGAATACGAGGCAGGGAGGGTCTCTGAATGCTGTTAGAGAAAAGGAAGGTTTGTAGAGATATCGAAGCTTCATGGACCAGGAAAACACTGGGGGTAGTTATCCTTTTCTACTCTGAAAACCTGTGATTATAAAAAAAGGTAATAGGAGGGAACATAAAAGTGAGCAGAAGATTTTAAGAGAAAAGATGAAAGCTCATGAGAGAAATGGGAGTTTAGAAAAGAATGCGTTTTGTGCATCCTGCTGCCCTGCCACTCTCACACCTGTCACAGTGAATGAGGGGAACTTCTATGATCTGAGCAGGACTGAGACTTCCCAGGGATCACTTCCTCACCCACTGAAAGCTTCCCAACAGCAGCCCACGTGGGTATGCTCTTGGGCAAAGGTAGTGGAAGCAAAGGCTTGGCAGAGAAACTGCATAGGGCACCTGCTTCTGAAGGGAGCTCAGATCAGAGTAAAGCAAAACCCCAGGGAATCTGGCTGGGTTGTTTTCCTGCCACATTTTGAGTTGCAGTTGGTAGTTCCAATGGTACAAGAGCTGCTATACTCCAAGGCATGTACACTCTTCTTCATTAGCTGTCATTCTCTGCAGCCACTATTGAATATGCAGCCCATCCACTTTTATTCATGTAACTGTTATGCCTAACTTGATACTCATCATTTACTTTCTCTCATGCACGGTAAAGCATGTCTTCTCCCTGTACCTACTGCTGGGCCTCGTTTCATGTAGGAGATATTATGCTATTAAGACTGACTTTATATGGATTACAACTCTTCATATCTCTTACCATGCACAATATATTTTTATATACCTCTCTTTCTCTGAGAGAAACAAGCCCAGTGGGCTATCTTACGAAGAGTTTATTAACTTTGTTTTCTGAACATTTATAGGTAGTGCTGGGACACCCGTCACTTTTAATGAGAACGGAGATGCTCCTGGGCGCTACGACATCTTCCAGTACCAAATCACCAACAAGAGTACGGAGTACAAGGTCATCGGGCACTGGACCAATCAGCTCCACCTAAAAGCAAGTATCAACATAAATGTACACCAGTGGATATTGTTCTCAAAGAAGAATGCTTTATTTTAAAGTATATAACCTTTATTAGAATACATTTTCTCCCAAGTGCATTTTTAGGAAATGTATGATTTGATTCTATCTTCAACTGTAAAATGTGATGGAAAGTCTTCAATGTCTATAGAGATTGCTGATAATTGTAGGGATTTAATGAAAGATTTCATTTTCTTTTCATTGATGATATATACACTTAGGGCAATTTTGCTCTTTTCTGAAAGATTCGCTGGGTCAAGTCTTTGTACCCTGTGTGTATGTGTGTAGGGGGGAGGGCTGGGGAGTGGATAATAGAGTATGATATGAATGCTAAAGTTGGGGCTTAAAAATAAGTACTTTTCATCTTTACCACATCTACCGGGGGACCGTTAGAATACATCTAATTGATGGAAGTGCATCCTGATCTGGATCTACATTTCATCTTGCTTAAAATCTTTTTTTAATTAATTGTTTTACAGAGAGGAAGGGATAGAGATAGAGAGTTAGGAACAGATATGAGAGAGAAACATCAATCAGCTGCCTCCTGCACACCCCCTACTGGGGATGTGCCCACAACCATAGTACATGCCCTTGACTAGAATTGAATCTGGGACCCTTCAGTCTATAGGTCGATGTTCTATCCACTGAGTCAAACTGGTTAAGGCTACATTTCACCTTTCAGTGACAGCACCAGAGAAAGTTAACATACCCAACGTGATGTCTATTACTTACTAGCCCTTAGAACTGTCTGCTGTCCCTGTCTTACCTCAGGTGCTATCAAAACACAATGTCATGTGAGGACAATTTGGATAGAGCAGGTAGAAGCAGGGTCTCAGGGCCTGTCGATGATGCCAAACACGGCTGGGCATTTGCCTGCCCAGGTGCCACACGGCCACAGAACTCTGTCTTCTCCCGCTGGGTGTGGTAGGGACCAGGTGTGGGTGGCATGTGGGGTGGTGAAGGGCAGAGGAACTTCTTCAGATGTTCCTGGTTGGAACATCTCCAAGAAACTCTCCTAGGAATGGATGCTTCGGAGAGTTTAGGGAGAGCTGTCTTTGATTGACACCCACCAATCATAAGGGGCTCTGAGCAGGAAGTCAATCCTGAACTTGATGAATAAGAAAACTCAGGAAGTTACAGGGTACAGGGCTGCGGTGGTGGCCTGGGCAGGATGGTTGGAACAGTTTACCGCTGGGTAGGAAATTATTTCTCATTTGAATGCTCTTGGTGTCATAGCAGTGCTCACTGGTGTCCCTGGATATAAAATAGGGACTGACCTGTATCTCAGAAAAGGATGGGCATCCTTTCACTAAGTTTCTCTTCTACGCCTATAACATAGGACTATTTGCAGAAATTGATAGCCAAGGAATTGCTACAGCAGCAGTGTTTCCTCTGTAGGCAATAAGATGCTTTTAAAGTGCTTCAAATGAATGAGAATCATACTCTTCTACTTTCTATTGTCTTAATTTGTATTCCATACTTTCCTTTAAGTGTCTCCTTTTCTTGATTCTCAAAGCTACCATAACACTGTGAGAGTTGAGTTCATTTCCTAAATCAATAATGAAGTTCATTTCTTAGGCACAGCTTATTTTAGCTAAAAGGTAAAAGCTCATGCCACATATGAGGGTGGGAGGGATCTCACTCTTATCTCTATGTATAATGCACACATGGGCTTTCATGTGTGTGAACCCACTCAGCAGACACCTATTTAGCCTTTTAATGCACGTTCACTTTCACATGTCCAAAGATAGCCCTTCAGTGTATGTTTATACAGCATCAGTCACCAACATTCTCAGAAAAGAAGCAGATGATGAGAAATAACAAAACTAGGGTAATTTAGGATCGATTGTCTCTGCAATGGCTTCCTGATAATTAGCACAGTTGCATTAAATAGTGCACAACCACACTTCTGTTTCAACTAGTGCTGTGCGATGCAGGACCATGTATCTACACTGTCCTTCAGTGAATAGCCTCCTGAAGTCTTACTCCTTGTTCTGCAACCCAGATTGACATTTATCCAAACACATCAGCAGCAGCTCTGCAGGTTGTTGGTGCCAATCTGAAAACCAATAGCGTTTTAAAATGTATCTTTATTGTTGAACGTATTACAGATGTTCCCCTTTTGTTCCCATTGACCTCCTCCATTCAGCATGCACTGCCCCCCCCCCCCAGGCCTGCACCATACTATTATTGTCTGTGTCCATGGGCTATGAATATAGGTTCTCCAGTTAATCTCTCCTCACCCCACCTTCCCACCCCCTTGCCTTCACTCTGAGGAGCTTTTTGGCAAAGCCCTTTTGAAAATGGACCTATGTTAAATAGAATAGATTTGACAAAGAAAATTTGATAAGGGCTAAAATGAAGCTCCTTTTTATTTTTTATTAATGCCAACCCACCTATTAGAGTCTTATGATGAGATGTTTGCATAGCAAAATTAAATGGTTGACAATATGTGTATTAATATATAATACCAAGATACCTAAAATAATTACACACAGAAGTATACATATACACACCTCTCTATTTGTGAGTGATATGTTTATTATAAAACTTTATATTGTGTTATTGTTCATAAAAGATAACAAAATCATTTGTAAGAATTATCTCTCAAGCATGGTCATGATAATTTATAACTTGATAGAAGTTTTATTCTACTGAAACAGGAAGAATGAAAATGTGAGAAGAAAAGAGAGTGAATTAAACTATGGGGAGAGGTTATGTCAATTCTGTTGAATTCCATAATTTATCAGGAAAAAACTAAATTTTATTGGGAGTTGGATCAGTCACCAGCTTGAAGGTGGAGTAGGGGGTACTTGAAAAATGACCAATTTATTAAAATTCTGCTTAGAACTTGGGCAAGGCACCAAATTATTTGCCTCCCTTTGGTCATATGTAAAATGGCAACATTATTAACAACTACTTACTTGGTGGTAATTAGTATTAAATGGAACAGTAAAATGTAGCATTTAGTCCAGGGCCTGGCACACATGAAATACATCAATATTACCTGTTATTAACCTGGTGCCTCATGATTCTGTGTGGGCACTGGGAGGTCTGCTAATGCATGTGGTGAGGCGTGAAGGTCTCTATTAGAAGAGGCTCTTGCTTTTAGAAAGTTCAGAGAGAATCTCTACATTTCAAATGTTGACTATGTGTTCCCACAGCTCACTGTTTCTGCCTGACTTTACTATTGCCCTTAATGATTTAGCAAATCTATCTGCACTTAAAAAATACACTTTATGGAAGAGAAATACATAGTTTTTTATTTTTTTATAGTAATGTGCAGCCACTTATTGTCACCTAGGTGGCTAGCTGGGAATGGATTTGTTAAGTTCTTTCTGTGCATATATTCTGTGCTAAGTGTTGGGACTAAAGTGAATATGTGGTCCCTGTGGTCAGGGAGCTCACAGCCTAGAAGGACAGACAGACAGACATTCAAACCAATAATTCTAGTGCAATGAGGCAGGTGCACTGATGAAGGTGTTTGCATGTTTTTTGTTGTGTGTTTAATAATCCTTACCTGAGGATATATTCATTGATTTTAAAGAGGAAGGTTGAGGGATAAGAATAGGGAGAGGGAGGGAGAGGGAGAGGGAAAAGAAGAGGAAGAGGAAGGGAGAGAGAGAGAGATATTGATTGGTTCCCTCCGGGATGTGCCCCAACCAGACATTGAACCCACAACTAAGAATGTGCCCTAACTGGGAATTGAACCTGCGATATTTTTTATGTGTGGGTGATGCTCCAACTAACTGAACCACCTGCCAGGGTGTGTGCCTGGTTTTGCAAGGCAGTGTGGAGAAAGACTGCTAATCTGGTGAGAGTTGATGAGGGACAGGGAAGGGTACTACTCACCTTATACTCCATCTCTCCTTATTTTATTAAGCCATATTTATAATATATTTCACACTCTCAGTGATAAACATTTATCAGCCAATTATTGGACTAATGTCTGCTTATTTTCCAAGAGCCAGTTTTTCTGGCTGAATTCAACCATAGGATGATTTTGTACATGGAGAGTATATAATTAAGCATATATGGGCACAGCAAATTTGCCTTGAATATATATTAGTGGAGTGAAATAATTTTTAAAAAGTAATTCCTTTCTTTTTCCTGAAAAATTATAAGGTGTTTTAGTTTATCAAAAACATTTTTATTCCAAATATTGCTTTTTTATTTATTTTTTTTAAGGAACTAACATATGTTCTCCACTTAGCAATTACTATCAGTTAATGTAAATTATTTGTTTAATTTAGGGTTTCTATTCAATAATCTCAGTCCACACATGAAAGTGAAGTTGAACAATTGTGCCTCTCTCTTTGTTAGCTGATTTTCTCAAAAGACAGGTGGCCCTTATTAGTGATTACAAACATATTGTAACCTAGAGGTTCAGAGTAAGCATCGAAGCCTGACCTGAGAAGGAACAGCCATATGCTGCTTTGAGTCCACAGGAAGAGGGTGTATCAAGGTTACTGGGCTGGCCTAAAATAACTCAGGGCTCACATTTTTACTCTTCCAAACAGAGCCACTTTTTTGGTGTTGGTGTAGGAATGAGATGGGTTTTTGCTTGTCTGGTTTTCTTCTCTTTTTAGTCAAGTAAATAATTTGAAGATAAATAAACATAGTAAAGGATAGTGAGTTCACAGGTACCTCAACATAATTAGTGATATTCACTGAGTGGCCAGATTATTATGATCTCTGAAAGCATAATAATCTTGCCATTTGGTATATATATATATATATATATATATATATATATATATATATATATATATATATTAGAGGCCCAGTGCATGAATTCATGCATGGATGGGGTCTGGCTAGCCTGGCCAGGGGGAAAGGACATGGGCGGTTGGCTGGCCTGCCTGTTGGTCAAATTCCTGGTTGAGGGGACAATTTGCATATTAGCCTTTTTGTTATATAGGATATACACTGAGTGGCCAGATTATTATGCATTCAGAGATCATAATAGTCTAGCC